GCGCAATACTTGTTTGCTAGTTTCAGCTTGGCGCAAGAGTGGTTTTAAGGCGTTGCGCTACGCTGTTTAAATAGCAAATGCATTAGCGCTTATTTGTGCGCCCATAGGCGTTCTGGTCTAAAAAGGAAGGTGTTCTGAGGTGGACCGCTGGAGCGTTGCTATTTTGAGAAACTATAATAGATTTTTCATTAGACCAAAACAAACCCGGTCTAAACTCCAGCGCAGAGTTGCGCCTCACTTACACACTGCTTAATACACACAAGAGAGCAACAGGCAAATATCTTTATATATGAAAAAATGTAAATATTAAGGATATATATAGGATATAATAAGAATAGATATAGGATATAAATATAAAGGATTAAAATATTACAAAACATATTATTTTCTAGCCTACATAAATATGAAAAACCACTGCTTTTATGTCTTCATCTCGGGAGGCTTTTTCAGTTCATTCATAACAATTTGCTTTTGTATAATGTTATTATTATTAGCAGTATTATTTATTATATCCATATTTATATTTGTTTTATTAAAAACAAGCTTAGATTAGTCCTCCTGTCAGGTTTTAGACCATATGGGTGTTTTAGGATATAACTCAGGTTTTTGAACACACTTCATTATTATTATTCATTTGTTTGTTTGCTGGAGATTAGAACTGAATTTAGAAATAGTTTTGAAACGAATATTTGCGCTTAACAAACAAAATTAATTATTTATAGACTAATTGATGTCTGTGTGTAAAGGTTTCCCTATCCAAGAGCGAAATTGAAAGTGATCCATTATCTCTCATTCTCAGCAGTAAATGCTCTGTTGAACTGTTTTCTGTCAACTGTGAACTGTTTGCTTGTGAAATGTTCAGTTTTTCCACTTAGACTTACTTTGCGTCCTGTAAGTAGCGAACATAGATATATACACTAGATATCGCATAGGGACCCTTAGCATGCGTCAATAGCGCTGCCACATTGGTACAGTGCTCCCAGGACAAATGTCATTCAACCGCACGAGTCAAGACAGTGTTACTACATGAAGATTTGGGACTTTAGCGCTGTCTACGGGTGTAGTAACGAGCAAACAAAGAAAACAAAGCACAAAGGCAGAACAGTTCATAGGTAATATTAAATTTTTTTTTCCGTTTTTGTATGTTCTGAACTTTAGTGCTAATCAGGTCACGTTATTGATGATAACAGTTAACATGGAGGGTAAATAGTAGATTTCTGTACACACAAACACAAGCTTTTTGTCAGGAATGCCCGTGCGGTCACTAATCCATCAATGTAGAAAAGTGATGTAAAATTATAATTTTCGTAATTAGAAAAAAAATTACATACTAACATCCAGGAAAACTCCCGATCACAGATATATGTGTATATCTCTGGCTTTGGATGGCCACAGTCCTCCACTGTACCTTGGTTCCGCATTCATTTCAAAGGAGCGCTACCCTGTAGCAAGATGGCGGCGCTATTGACGCATTCCATCCAATAGACAACAATAGGCCAGGCGACATCTAGTGTATATATCTATGAATAGCGAATGCGCTCTTGGCGCAGCTGGCTCTTAAAGGGAATGGGAGATGAGACTCTGATTGGTTTATTCTCAAAACACACCTATAACTCATTAAGAGAATAAACTCAACACTTTTAGACCATGCGCCACAGCACAAAGCGGATTTTCCCGTCTGTAAATTAGCAAAAATGTGTTCTGACACGCCCTGAAAGCGTTTGCACCCTGCGTTTTGCTCTCTGCGCATGGACCGTCAAAATAGAGCCCTTAGTGTGGAAATGAAATTGAGAAGAAATTTGCAGAGGGATGATGTGTAGTCCTTTATGGCTTAACATGCTTAATGTAATTTACCTTTACTGCTTCAGTTGTGTTCAGAACTGTGACATGTTTTTGTTTGGAGCATGTTAATGAGGAAAAAATATCTTTCATTTATTGATGGAAATATTTTGGTACTATCACCTGCCTGTTATAAAATATAATTGGATTGAGGGGGGCACAAAAGTTGAAGCTGCATACCCATCAGTAAATGAGCAGTTGCACCCCTAAATTTAATTATTAATATGAAGCAAGATCATCAGTGACCTCAAGAGCTGGAGTGCTGATTGAGGCACAGCCTAAGAGACAAACTAAATATGTGTGTGTGTGTGTGTGTGTGTGTGTGTGTGTGTGTGTGTGTGTGTGTGTGTGTGTGTGTATGTGTGTGTGTGTGTGTGTGTGTGTGTGTGTATGTGTGTTATCAGGGCAGAACAGCAGCTGATATATCAGTCAAGATGACGTTACGCAATTTACACAACATTCTGACAACTCAGAAACAGTTGAAAAGCTGCAGTGCTAGTAAATACCAGTTGTGTATGAAAAATACCACAGTACATCAGGGTAAATTTACTATAGGACATGTGGTAAATACTGTAGTGTTTCTGAACTGCTACTATAGTATATCTCTAACATGTTCATTTGCTGTGGTAATGTTTCTACAATTATTATAGTAACTGCTATAGTAAGAAAATAAGTGACTAAAATAAAATAGTTGGCGGTTCATTCCACTGTGGCGTCCCCCGATAAATAAGTGACTAAGCTGAAGGAGAATGACCGGTGTTCCAAATGTCCCCACAAGTATAGCAATACCAGCAAATTTTGACCTTATTTCGGTCTCCATGAGGGAAACGGCTCATAAATCAGCCAGACTGAGGTATGGTGAAGATGTAAAAGTGCAGATGTTTGCTGTGAGGGTTGAGTTTAGGGGGAGATGAGAGAATATACAGTCTGTACAGTACAACATCATCATGTCTAGGAGAAGTCCCCATAAAGATAGCTGTACAAGTGTGTGTGTGTGTGTATGTTTGTGTGGGCAGTAATGCAGTGTCCTTCAATGTGAGGTAGATCAGCTCTCGGATGTGTGTGTGTGTGTGTGTGTGTGTGTGTGTGTGTGTGGGACAGGCACTGCAGCTCCACATATCGATTCACTGATGCAGGAAAAGTGTGACCTTTCTCCCAGAACTGCCATCAGCAGTAGAGCATCATGGGAAAAAACGAAACACATGACTTCAACACACAAGGGTTTTGATTATCACCAGGGGAATAATAATAGAAGCGCTCTGAGTGTCTGATAGTGTGTGTGTGTGTGTGTGTGTGTGTGTGTGTGAATATCACCAGCAGCCTCTGATGCTCAACATGAATTAATTGTATTGTTTATGAGCACACTTTGATTGACATTCTCCCGTTGTACGTGTCATCAGAGGGGGAAAGCCCCGCCCACTAGTGCGCATCTCTCCATCTCATTAGCATCTCCAGCAGGCCTGAGTGAGAAGCAGCCGTCTGTCCATTAGCCATTAGAGTGTTTGAGCTGCTGACTTGGAACTTGCAGCTTCACCTCTTAGCTGTAATTTTCTTTCAAACTATTTCTACAGTTCAGTTTTAGTGAACTTCATGTTTACTATTGCGTTCCCTTCACAGTGCACTTTGAAAACATTGATGTCATTTTGAACACTGTCGTGGCTCATGACGAAAGCTGTAGGTGACCTGTTATTTACCAGCAGAATTTATGTTTCATCTCTAAAGCTTGTGAAAACAGAAAACACAGCAAACGCTAATGCTTTCATTTATAGCAGGTTATTTATTAAGACGTGTCTGTAGCCTACTGTATATCACATGGGCCTGTGTCAATGTGTAAAAATAAACTTTTACAAAAAAAACAACCAAAAAAACAATATCCTACTTAATAATAATATGAATACTACTACTACTACTAATATTAATAATAATAATAATATTAATAATAATAATATCAATAATATTATTAATAATAGTAATAATAATAATAGTATTATTTATAATAATAACATAAATATTAATAATAATAATATTAATAATAAAAAAATTATAATATTAATAATACAATACAAAAGTAATGATAATAATAATAATAAAAGAATAATATTAATAATAATATTAACATTAATAGTTACAATATTATTATTATTATTATTATTATTATTAATAACAACAATAATAATGATATTAATAATAATAGCAACAATAATATATATAATAGTAATAAGTATAATAATAACATTAAAAATAATAATAATAATATTAATAATAGAAAATAATGATATTAATAATACAATACAAAAGTAATGATAATAATAATAATAATAAAAGAATAATATTAATAATAGTAATATTAACAATAAAATATATTATTAATAAAATTAATAATAATTATAATAAAATTAACATTAATAGTTACAATATTATTATTATTATTATTATTAATAATAATAATAATAATAATAATGATATTAATAATAATAGCAATAATAATAGATATTATAGTAATAATTATAATAATAACATTAATAATAATAATAGTAGTAAAATAATAATATTATCAATAATAATAATATTAATAATAAAAAATATATAATTACTAAAATTAATACCTTTATTAATAATAATAATATTAATAATATTATTATTATTGATAACTATAATGATAATAATAATAATAATGATAACAACAACAACAATAACAATAATAATAATGTATATATATATATATATATATATATAAGTTGCGTGGTTTAAGTGATGGATCAGCGAGAGAGAAACTATGGGTTTTGGAAAACACTCGTCACTACATTGTTCTTTTCCCAAACGATGCATCGTACTATGATAGTTCAGCTGTGAGATACGTCGTTGTTTGGGAAACGCACCCCTGACCAGCACTGACAACACACACATAGTGCTGTTTTACATCTGTCTCACTATGGTGACGTTTGTAGCTCCGCCCTCTTCTGAATACAGCTCAATCTCATTTGCATTTAAAGTGACAGACACCAAAACGCCACAATCAGGATCAAAGCCTGAAGGGGTCAGTTTCAGAGAGATCTATAGAGAACATCATCTGTGTGCCACTCTCAGCTCAAACACACACACACTCACACACACACTAGACACAGCTTTCACAGCTCATCTCATGCTTTATATCCCTGCAGGTCCAGCTGGGAGCTTCCAGACCTGCGAGATGGTAAAATCCAGGCCATCAGCGACTCCGACGGCGTCAACTACCCGTGGTACGGCAACACCACCGAGACCTGCACCATCACCGGCCCCACCAAAAAAGACACGCGCTTCACCGTCAGCATGAACGATAACTTCTACCCGAGCGTGACGTGGGGCGTCCCGGTGAGCGACAGCAGCGTCCCGCAGCTCAGCAGCATCTGGAGGGACCAGAGCTTCAGCACGTGGCTGGTGGCCATCAGTCAGAGCACAGGCGAGGTGCTGGTGCTGCAGACGGTGCGCTGGCGGATGCGTCTGCACATCGCCGTCGACCCAGAGAAACCGCTGGGTCAGAGAGCAGCACTGTGTGAACCCACAGCACAGGAGCCGCCGCAGATCCTGGGAAAAAACGAAGCCATTCCTGCGAACGCTTTGGTCAAACCCAACGCTAATGATGCGCAGGTGCTGATGTGGCGCCCTCGTGTGGGAGAGCCGGTGGTGGTCATCCCACCCAAACACTGACACACACACACACACACACAGGGGGAAATACCACAGTGCTGCAGCGTGGATTTACTACAGAGCGTCCAGGAAACATTTAGTGAATATAGACTGATTTAGGGAGGAGATCTGACCCAAAGATGATCTATTAAAGCACAGAGGTCAAACTCAGCTCCTGGAGGGCCGCAGCTCTGCACAGTTCAGCTTTAACCCTCATTAAACACTCCTGATCAAGCTCACCCAGTGCATCAGGCTTGTTTGAGAGCTGCAGGAGTGTGTTTGAGCAGGGCTTCAATAGAGTTTAAATCATTCAAAGAAGAGACTGATCACCAAACAGCTTGAGGAATAGATCAGGTATACACTGGATTAATCATGCGGAGACAAACCTGCAACTAAATTTCATATATTTTTATGATGCTCTTGATTTTATTTTGCTCTTTGTTGACATTTTATTTAATAGTTGTTCCTGTAGTACTTCAGGGTCGATGTATTCTGGAACATCTGTGGTGCATTTGGAAAACACTGTTATATTTAATAGATCAAAGCATCTTTAGGAACAGATAAATTATACATCTGAATAAAAGTGCTTCATTTATTTATTTACTAAACTACCAAATATTACATTACAAACTCCAAAATTCCAGTTACATTTATTTTTTTGTATGTTTTTTTTCTCTTTATGAGGTTATAAAGCTGCAAAATCGCAACTAAATTTTATATATTTTTATGATTTTCTTGATTTTTTTTGTCTTTATTGAAATTGTATTTATTAGTTTTTATTATAGTAGTTCAGGGTAGATTTATTATAGACCTTGTAGTGTTTTACAGTAACATAAATGAGCACACCTCCATCAGAAATCTATTTTCATCCATTTTTTAGTGAATATAAACTTTTTTGTGGTGCATTTGCAAAACAGTGTTTATATTTAAATTTAATACATTAAGACACATAAACGTCTTTAGAAACAGATAAATTATACAACTGAATAAAAATGCTCATTTATTTATTTATTATTATAAAAATACAAATTATAAAATTACAAACTCCAAAATTTCAGTAAAACACATTTTGTCCATTAATTTTTTTCTCTTTATGAAGCTACAAAATTGCAACTAAATTTAAATATTTGTATGATTCTCTTAATTTTTTTTACTCTTTATTGAAATTGTATTTAATCGTTTTATTATTATACACCATGTAGTCTATAACACCTTCAGAAATCTACATTTTCATCCATTTATTAGTGAATATAGATTTTTTTGTGGTGCATTTGCAAAACAGTGTTATTAAACTGTTATATTTAATAAATCAAGACACATGAACATCTTTAGGAACAGATAAATTAAACATCTGATTAAAAAAGCTTCATTTATTTATTTATTTCTACAAAATTACAAACTCCACAATTTCAGTTACATTTATTTTTTGTGTTTTTTTCTCTTTATGAGGTTACAAAGCTGCAAAATTGCAACTAAATTTAATATATTTTTATAATTCTCTTGATTTTTTGATCTTTATTGGATTTTTATTTATTAGTTGTTACTGTAGTAATTCAGGGTCGATTTATTATAGATCATGTAGTGTTTTATATTAACATAAATGAGCACACCTCCTGAATATCCTGAAAATATTTGGTCCATTATTTTTTCTCTTTATGAAGCTACAAAATTGTAACTAAATTTAAATATTTGTATGATTCTTTTAATTTTTCTGCTCTTTATTGAAATTGTATTTAATAGTTTTTACTATAGTAATTCAGGGTAGATTTATTATACACCATGTAGTCTATAACACCAACAGAAATCTACATTTTCATCCATTTATTAGTGAATATGGACTTTTTTTGTGGAGCATTTGCAAAACAGTGTTATTAAACTGTTATATTTAATAAATCAAGACACATGAACATCTTTAGGAACAGATAAATTATACATCTGAATAAAAATGTTAATTTATTTATTGTTTTTACTAAACTTATAGAACATTGCATCTCCAAACATTCATTTTTTTGCTTGATTTTCTTTCTCTTTATTGACGTTATTGAATATTTCCCCCTACTGTAGTACTTCAGGGTAGATTTACTACACAACTCTTACTATAGTATCATATCGAGTGCACAGCAGAAATGAGCACAGCCCCTTTTAAAAAAGCATGTGTTTATCCATCCCTCAGTAAATAGAGATGATATATACACAAAACATTTCAGTCTTCAGGCCTTATTTCTAATAGTTAGCTGTACAATATAATATTTGTGCATATACACTAGTCAAATAACCTACGATAACGCTTTAAACACATTTAAATCTATAAAAAAATATTAAATACACATTTAAAACAGGAAAAATCAAGACGAGCAAAAACAAAAAACCATTTTCTTGAAATTTTGTAGGTTTTAGTTTGAATTTAATGATATTTTCTTTCAATTTCTGAATATTTTTGTTGACTAAATTATTATTGTAATAAATATATATCTGTTTATAAATCTGTTTTGTTTAAATGCACCAAAATACGTTGAATATTCACTGAGAAATGGAGGAAGATATAGATTTGTATACTCGATGTACTGAATAATGATTATAATGCAGTCACAATCACTTTCACTGCACTTTCAGGTGTACTGTGGTATTTTCTCCTGTGCTGATGGAGAGTGTCAGATTTCACGCTGCCTTAAGTTTACATTGCTTCCACTGCAAACTCTTCGCCTTAACCCGAGTGCAATGCAGTAAACCTCGCACATTTACCGTAGTTTTGCACCGATCGTGTCCCAGTTACTCGCTCCTGCGGGGACGAACATCACGCCAAACCGGGACGCGTTTATTATGCATTCAGTGTTTCCTAAAGGAGTCAGTGTTTTTGGTTTTACGTCCACCAGCTACTGATGCACATGTGTGTGTTTTTTATTTACGACCCCAGGGTCTAGAAGAGTGTATATTTTATACTGTGTGTGTGTGTGTGTGTGTGTGTGTGTGTGTGTGTGTGTGTGGCCAATCAATCCTCAGAGCTGTGCTGAGTTTGCTGGAGATGGAGAGAAAGACTAAATCTGCACAAAATGACTAGAGCCGATGCTCACTACGGTCCAGTTTGAGTGCTGCTGTGGTCTGCGTTCCAATCCACGACACACACTTGTGAGCTCCCCTTCTCTTGTTCCCTCGGTGGAATCCTCAATGCCATTTTAAAGTGTGTTCCACTTCATTAAGTGAACGAGGGAAGCTTACATGGATATACCCTTGATCCCTTGACAGAGGAGCGAGTCTACTTCATATATCCACCCAGGCAACAGTGTACAAGGGTGTTTCATTTCAACCCATTCAGATGCTCCGCCAGTAGTGGACACTTGTGTGGTGTAATAAATGAGGGAAGAAGATGTTAGCGAGTGAAGGGCATACAAAACTGGACTGGAATGCAGCCATTGTTGAAATGATCAGAAATTGCACCCTATACCCTTAATAGTGCACTAATAAGGGAGCCGCCATTTGTAGTGGTGTCCAAAACCACAGTGGACGTTCTGAAGTGCACTAAATTAATCCCACAATGCACTGCAATAATGAGTACACTCAACAGCACTCAATGAGAATACCCATAATGCACTGAGAGTTTGCGCACGGAATGAATTTCTGCGTTTGACCACAAGATGGCGTTCACTATCGGTATAAGTTTCTATACAAGTTATTTATTTTTTAAATTGTATAAGTATTGTATTGTTAATTGTCATTTTGTACACATGACAGAAGTTATAATACGCTGTTTTTATTATTAATGCTGGGTTCACACTAAACTGAATTAAGTATTTAGTGAACATTAACGCAAATGCGCGAATTACCTTTGAGTGGTGCAGATGATGTGCGTAATTCACTTCAATCACGTCTAGCGCACAAATTCAAATAACTCAAAATTCCAACTCAATCTCAGTTCAGTTCGGAACTTTTTGATTTAGTGGGTAATTCGCATTTATTTGTACGATCTCATTTGTACGTTTTTGTTTTGGTTTGCTCCTCCTCCAATGAATCGTAGGCTTAGGGGTGGGGCTTGTGGCTACTCCTCCTTTTAAACTCTATGAATTTGTACAAATTAGCTACTTTTCTGACAATACGTAAAATAGTTACGTTTCCTCGTGTGATCAGGTTGGAAAATTCGAGTGAAGTAAAAAAAAAACTAAAAAATGGTGGGTTCACACCGAATGCGGAATTAAGTATTTGCGCAAATTAAGAATTATCTTTGCGTGGCACAAATTATATGGAATGTGCAACGCGTTTTATGTGAAATCTTACTGCAGTACAGAATTCTTTGATTTCATGGCTAATTTATATTCATTTGTGCGATCTCATTTATACATTTTTAGTATGATCTGCTCATCCCCCAATGAGGAGTAGGCTCAGGGTTTGTGGCCACGCCTCGTTTTAAAAAAAAACTACATTTTCATACAAATTGAACCCTTTAAATTAGTACAAATTAGCCACTTTTTCGACAATACGTAAAATAGTTACGTTTCCTTGTGTGATCAGGTTGGAAAATTCAAGGTGAAAAACATTTAAAAAATACTTTATTACTAGTGCTGGGTTCACACCAAATGCGTAGTTAAGTATTTGCGCATATTAAGAATTACCTTCGTGCGGCACAAATGATGCGGAATGTATTTGACGCAAAAGTGCAGAATTCAATTCAATTGCATCTAAAGCACACATTTAAATAATTCAACTGCAAACTTTAACAAGATCTCAGTGCAATTTGTTATTTGCTAATGGCGGGGATTGCGCAACACGTTTTTTTTTTTTAATTCGTAATTTTTATTCAGTGGCTAATTCGTACATTTTAGTATGATTTGCTCCACCTCTCCATGAGTCAAAGGATTATTGGTGGATTTTGTAGCCACTTCTTCTTTTTAAAAAATTACATTTTCATACAAATTAAACCGAATAAATTTGTACAAATTTACATTTCCTTGTGAGATCAGGTTGTAAAAATTGAGTGAGGTAAAAAACATACAAAAATCCTTTGATCATTACTAATGCTGGGTTCAAATGCGGAATTAAGTATTAGTGAAAATGAAAAATTACGTTCTCGCAGCGCAAATGATGTGGAATGCATTTGACGTGAAAGTGCGTAATTCACTTCGATTATATCTAAAGCACAAATTCACATAATTTAACTGCAAATTTTAACGCAATCTCAATGCAAACTTTAGCATGATTTGCTCATCATTGATGGGGAATGCGCAATACGTTTGATGAGAAATCTCACGGCAATTCGTGATTTGCTAATTCATACATTTTAATAGGATTTGCTCATCCCCCAACGAGTCATAGGGTTAGGGGTGGGTTTTGTGGCCCCACCCCCTTTAAAAAATTACGTTTTCATACAAATTAAATTGTATGAATTTGTACAAATTATTTTTGACAGTATGTAAAATTGTTAGGTGTCCACGTGAGATCAGGTTGGAAAATTCGAGTGAACAAAACGATGTGGAATTTGCACAAATCATAAATTAGCTTTGCGCGCGCTCAAATGAGATGGAATGCCAAATCCATTTAATGCGAAATCTCACTGCAGTCCGTCATTTTTTTTAGTGGATAATTCATACGTTTGAATAGGATTTGCTCATAGGGTTAGGGGTGGGGTTTGAGGACACGCCCCCTTTAACGCATCATACG